CCCTCTACCAAAATCCATTGAGTTTCTATGTATTCACAATGAACATATGGATCACAAAATTAAAAATACTATATCACTTACAATTGCTTGAAAATGAAATACTTGGGTGTAAATGTATTAAAACATGTATAGGAGTTGTATACTACAAACTACTCAACACTGATGTAAGAAGTGAAAGAAGACCCACCCATAGATGGAAAAGCAAATTGTGTTGATGGATTGAAAGAATCAGCATAGAAAAACTTTCAATTCTATCCAAATTATTATGTGGATTTAATTCACTTTCTATCAAAATATCAGCAATATTTTGTAGATATGTATGAATATTTTTAAAAATTCATATAGTAAGTAGGAGAAACTCACATAGATAAATACATTTTGAGGAAGAACAAAGTGGAAGGAATTCAGTCTACCTGATCTCAAGACTTACTATGTAACTACAGTAATCAGATACATAGATCAATGGAACACAACAGAGAATCCAGAAATATAACTGCTGAAATATGCCCAACTGATTTTTAACACAGTTGCAAAAGCAATTTAATAGAGTAAATATAGCCTTTTAAACAACTGATGCTAGAGCAATTGAATATACATAGATCACCAAATGAAGCTTGGTCCAATTATCATACCTTATAAAAAATTAGCCATTTTGGACCACAGACTCAAATGTGACATGTACAATTTTAAACATTTTAGAAGAAAACAGGAAAAAACTTTTTTTGCCTAGCTATGCCTAGGCAAATAGTTCTCAGATTTGACATAAAAGTATGATCTATACAAGGAAAAATTGACAAATTAGACCTCCTCAAAATTAAAAACTTTTGCTCTGAAAAACATCCTGTGAAGAGAATTAAAAAATATGCTACAGAGGGTAAGAAAATATTTGTAAACCGTATGTATGACAACCGACTAGTATAAGAATATATAAGGAACTCTCAAAACTCAACAGTAAAATCAAGACAATATAATGGGAAATGGACAAAGTACATAAAGAGACCTTTTTTCAAAACTGGATATACAAATGACAAGCCCATGCATGAAAAGATGTTCAACATCATTAGCTATTAGAGGGTTAAAGCCCCATTGAGATATCACTACAAACGTATAAGAATTCCTAAATAAAAAATAGTGACAACACCAAATGCTGGCAATGATGCAGAAAAACTAGATTGCTCATATTTTGCTCAGGGAATGTAAAATGTTACTTCCACTATGGAAAATACTTTGGCAGTTTCTTATAAAACTAAACATGCAACTACTGTACTATCTACCAATTGTATTCCTGGGCATTTATCTCAGACAAAAAGACTTTACATTTACACACACAAATACCTGTACTTGAATGTTTATAGCAGCTTTATTCATAACAGCCCAAACCTTGAGTTAATTCAAATATCTTTCAGTGAGTAATGATTAAACAAACTTTGGTACATCCATACCACGAGCTACTACTTAGCAACAGGGAAACTGGGTAAACAGCACAAGAGATCTCTTTGTATTATTTCCTGTGATGACATGTAAATCTACAAGTATCTCAAAATGCTGTTTCATTTTAAAAATGTAACACATAACATTGCCAAGATAGGATTCCAAACACAGGAGTGGGTGACAAGTGGGAGAAAGAGCACATCCATCTGTTATGGACACAGAAAGACCCAGGTTCAGATTTGGTCTCCTTCACTTCCCAACTGTGTGACCTGGAGCTTGTGTCTGAGGTTGCCCATTTTCTCACACCCTTACTAACAGTGTATAGTGTTATTCTTTTTCTATTTTCCAAATTCTAATAGGTTAAGGAATAGAATTTCATTGCTATTTATATTTGTATTTCTTTGATGATGAGTGAAGATGAATATAATTTTGTATCTTATTTGGCCCTTTTTATTTTTGTGTCTGTATGTTTATTTTCATGAGGGACATTGCTTTGTAATTGAATTTTCTTGGCATATACCTGTCAGGACTTGCTTTCAAGGTTATTCTGGCCTCATGAAAAAAGTGTGGAGTTGTTTTTCCTTTTTCTATTGTCAGTTTGAGGTTGATACAGTATCTTCAGCAATACATCAGGGAAGCCATCTGGATCTGAAGTGTTTTGTTTTTGGAGGGTAGGTTTTTAATTATGGAATCGCTTTATTTAGCAAACATAGGATTACAGAGATTATCTAGCTCTTATTTTGTAATTCATATTTTTCAAGGAATGTGTGCATTTAATTTGTTACATTTATTTACATGATGTCCATAAAATTCCATTATTATTATTTTAATGTCTATGGACTCTGTTGTGATATATTTTTATGATGTGGTTAATTTATTTTATTATGATTAGTTTTCCTTGTGGCTTATCAATTTTATTAAGATATTCAGAGAACTAACTGGTGGCTTTGTTGATTTTCCCTATTTTAACGGTTGTAGACTATTTTAATGGTATCTGCCATTATCTTTATTATTTCCTTCCTTCTCTACTCTCCTTGCTTTTCTTTTTCTAATTTCTTCAAGTGGAATCTTAGAATATTGTTTTAAAATTTTATTTTCTAAAATATGCATTTGCAGCTACAAATTTCCCTCTATTCACTACTTGAGTTGTATTTAGCAAACTTTATGTGTTGTATTTTAATTATCATTCAGTCCAAAATATTTTCTAGTTTTCAGAACTTTGCATTATGAGCTTAAAAATTATTTTAGTAATTCTAATAGTTCATTAGTAGTGCTTCTTTGTGGTTTCTGTTGCTCTGATGACTAATTATGTTGGGAAATCTTTTATACATTTATTAACCTCTCATGTGTTTTCTCTGAGCTTTCTGTTCAAGCTTTGCATCTATTTTTTATTGTGTTGTGTTTCTGTTATTGTGTTGAAAGAGTTATTTATCAATCTATTTATTTATTGAAATGGGGAGTCTTGCTCTGTCGCCCGGACTGGAGTGTCCTTCTCTCGGGTTCAGGCAATTCTTATGCCTGAGCCTCCCAAGTAGCTGGGACTACAGGTACCCCCCACCACATAAGGCTAATTTTTATATTTTTAGTAGAAACGGGGTTTCACCATGTTGGCCAGGCTGATCTTGAACTCCAGTAGAGATAGGGTTTCACCATGTTGGCCAGGTTGACCTCAAGTGATTTGCCTGCCTTGGCCTCCCAAAGTGCTGGGATTACAGGCGTGCGTCACTGTACCCAGCCTGAAAGAGTTATTTATATATCCTGGGGTCTAGTCAATTGTCAGATTAATTTATTGTGAATATTTTATCTCATTGAATTGGCTTGCCTTTTAATTTTTAATGTCTATTAAAGACATTAAAGAAAGGTTTAATATAAGTAAGTCCAATTTTAAAATATTTTTTCTATTATTGGTGATTTTTTTTTTTTAAGACTCCAGCCACCAGGTTTATTTTCATGCTGTAAATAAAGTTCCCTATTTTTCCCATTTTCTGTTATACATGAGATACAGAGAACCAGAAATTTGCTTGGTGAATAATCAACTGTTTTGTATATCTAAATACCAATGAGATAATAAGCGAGACTTGTAAAGCACTGAAACCAGGGCTAAGAGCAACACAATCCACCATCAAAGGATTTCAGTGCCAGAACTGTGAAGTGTTCTCTATTGGTGCTGGGACAGTCCGGCTGACAATTACTGTCCACCCTAGCACCAAGGGCTGGACACTTGTGATTTCTGTTTGCCTTCCCTGGCATGGAGCCCAGATCTGTTTCATGAACAAAGTGACTACCAAGGTGGCTTCTCTGATGGAAAGTTGGTTTTAAGTCAGAAATCTGGAGAGATGTCATGGCGGGCAGCAGCCCCAGTGGGCCTAGCCCTTTGTAGGGCAGAGTGTCACTGTCTGCTGTGCTAGTGCCCATGCTGCATTGAGTGGGCTTGGCTGCTGTGGTCAGCTTGTCCTTTAGTGGTTCGCAGATTGTGTGCAGCTATCACGAGGAGTTTGTTGCTGGAAGTGTACGGGAGAGGGGAGGAAAAAAGGGTATCGGATTTGTCCAATCACTGGAGGATGAAGTGGGTCACTCAGAGTGAATGGTGGTTGGCATGAGAGTTGCCTGTCTTCAGCCAGTGCCTGTCCCATATGTGGGCTGGATTTTGACAGCCTGGCAGCGAGGGTGTTTGTTTATAAAATGCTTGGCCTGCACAGGGCCAGGGAGAGGACGACACAAGGAGGTCACTGTGTCGTAAGAGAGGGCCAGCATCTGCCGCTAAGAAGAGTTGCAAGGGCTGTGCCTACTTCTGCCCAGACACCGAGACCGCCAGCTCCTGGATGGACATATCCTTGTTGACATAACGGTCGTACTGAGCAGGGGTCAACCTGCCACTCTGCAGGGCCTCTTCGATGGAGAACTTGCCAGACTTCCTGTCGTGTATCACTGAGGACTCCCCGTTGGGCCCCTTCACTGAGATCTCCTCCCAGTCACACTCCTGGCTTTTGAGTTTCACAAGCATGCTCCAGTCAATGAGCCCGGCGCGGTGGGCTTCCTCCGGGGACAGCTCGTGGCCCGTGTCGGGGTGGATGACCACGATGGAGCGCCGCAGGTGGTTCTCCTGCTGCTCCCGCTTGACAGCCACGGAGCCCAGGCGCCTCTGCAGCTCGTCGATCTCGAGGTCTTTGTCCTTGGAGAGCCTCTTGAGGTCGTCCAGTTCCCTCTCCAGGGACCACAGTCTAGAGTCGTGGTTAGTCCCAGAGTCTGCCACGGCCATGTTCCGCAGGTCTCGTGTTTCCGTCGCTGCCATTTCAATTTCCGATTGGAGCCTTCGGGTCTCCAGCTGCAGGTTTTGCCGCTCCAGTTGTAATTTGTGGTTTTTTTCCCTTAGAAAGTCTAGTTCCTTGGATGACTTGGAGTTATGGAATTCCAGCTCCGAAAGCTGGGCTTCCAGCCGGCTCACCTCGGCGTCCAGCTCGCGCTTGCTGCGGCTCTCCTCCTCCAGGCTGCTCTTGAGCCTCTGGATCTCTTGCTCGGTGTCGCCCTTCTCCGCCTGGACACTCTCAGAAAACACCACCTTCTCCTTGACCTCCGCCTTCTCCAGGGTGGCCAGCTTCCTCCGCAGGGTCTCCAGCTCACCCTCCAGGAGCTGCCGCCGGTGCTGTTCTTCCTCCAGCTGGAGTTGGAGCAGGGCATGCTCGCGGGCCTGCTTCGGGTCCTGCTGCAGCACTACCTTCTGCTTGTGGGTCACCTTCTCACGGGCCTCAGCTTCTTCCTGCTCCAGCAGTGCCAGCCGCTGCTGCAGCCGCTGCTCCTCGCGCTCTGCCTCCCTGCTGGCCTGCAGCTCGCGCTCCAGCTCCTCCAGCTGCCGCTCGAGCTCGGTGCGCCGGCGCTGCAGCCGCCGCAACTCCGCACGCAGCTTGTCGATCTGCCGCAGCTCCACGTCGATGCTCTCGGCGAAGGAGCTCACCTCGGCCCTCAGGCCAGGCTCCTCCTCGTACCTGACTACTTCCTGCTGCACCATTCTTTCCTTCACCTGCTAGAGCTCCTCCTCCTTCCGGGCAATCTGCTCTTCCTGGGAAGCCCTCTCCCTCTCCAGGTCCACTTGCCTCTTCTGCTCCTCTGAGAGCTTTGTCCTCAGAGACTCCACCTCCTCCTTGGTTTGAGGGTCTTCCTGAAATTGTAGGATCTCCTGGACCACCTCTTTGATCTGGACCTGGGGTTTGGTGTCTTTCAGGGCCTGGATTTCCTGCTTCAGCTGGTAGATCTCTAAATCACACCTTTCGATCAGTCTGGTCTTATCCACGATCTCCTCCCTGAGCCGCTGAAGCTCCTTCTCCATCTTGGGGTCAGTCTTGTACTTAATGACTTCCTTAGTCACGCCTTTGACTTCCACCTGGGGGCCCCGCCTCCTGAGGGTCTGCGGCTCGCTCTGGTAGCTCCAGAGCTGCTCCTCCGCCCCCCAGTACTTTCGCTCCTGCTCCACAAGCTCCAGGTGGAGGTTGGCCACTTCACTCTCTGCTTTGGGGTCTGGCTGCGCGATCTCACGCACCTTCTCCTGCACCACCACTTTGGCATTCTCCTCCTCCAAGGCCCATATCTTCCGGAGCAGCTTGGTCTTTTCCCTCTGGCTGGCACGAGCCTTGGCAGCCTCATCCTCGTATTGGCGGGTGAGATCGCTGACCTCCCTCTCGGTGGATGCGTCCTTCTCCACCTTGAGCACCTCCTTGACGGTGATCTTGCCCTCGGCCATGGCCCGCTCCTTCTCCAGCCTCTTGAGCTTGTCCTGGAGGAAGCTCAGCTCCTCCTCCTGCTACTCTCGGAGGTGGCGTTCCTGCTCGTGGTCATCCTGCAGCTGTCGGTACTCTGCCTCCAGCTGGGGGTCATTCTGCAGTTTAACCACCTCTTTCTCGGTGACCTTGTTTTGTGCCCGGCTCTTCTCCTCGGCCAGGGTGGCCACACGCTGCTGCAGGAGGAGCACCTCTGCCTCCCGGGCACCCTTCTGCTGCCTCAGTGCCTCCAGCTCCTCCCGCAGCTGCAAGACCTCGTCCGCCTGGGCCCTGTCAGGCTCGATGCGCAGGACCTCCTTGACCACATACTCCTGTCCCCCGTCCCTTGTGTCCTATTCCAGGGCGCGCAGCTTCAGCTGCAGTGCCTCCAGCTCCTCCTGCAGTAGTTGGTTCTTGTGCTGCTCTTCCGTCAGCGTCCTCTGCAGCTGCTGGAAACTCTCCTCCAGTGCGGGATCTGGCACTTTCTTGAGCACCTCCTTCCTCATCACCGATTCCTGAGGCCCCTGATTCCGCAGGGTCCGGATCTCTTCCTGGGTGCTCTTGATCTCGTTCTCCAGCTGCTGCCTCCGCTCCTTCTCCTCATCCAGTTCCTTCCTGAACTTCCATGCCTCTTCCACTCCGGAGTCCGGCTTGTTCCTCTGCAGGGTCTCATGGGTCACTTCTACTTCCAGCTGCTGTCTAAGGAGATTCAGAGCAAACTCTAAATTCTGCAGCCTCTGTTTGTTGATGGCATAAACTTCAGTGAACTTGGCAGCAAGAGCTGCTTCCTCTTCTTTCACTTTGGCAGCGGGAGATTGGAGCCTGGCTCTCTTGTTCATGTGGCTGCTCCTTCCATTCTCCAAGTCAAGAAGGGACCTTAGTGTTTCTGCTTCTAACTCATAGTCCTTTACAGCTTGCTGATACTGCTGGGAAATGGCATAGATCTTCTGTACTTTCTGCTCCCTACCTGCTATCTCATGTAGCAGGTTCTTCTGGTTCTTTAGCTTGGTCTCCATCTGGCTGAGGCTGTCTGTCTCCTGGGGCTTGTAACTGGGGATGCTGGCCAAGAACTGCAGCATGTGGTCATGGCCACTGCGGTAGTCCTCGTAGGCTGCCTTGGCACTCCGCAGGCTCTGTGCCCTACACTCCACCTGCTGGCACAGGTTGTCAAAACGCTGGCCCAGCTTGTGAACTTCGGCCTCCTGGTGCTCCAGGTCTGGGCAGTGCTCCTGGAAGCGGCTGGCCAGCGTGCTCGAGCACTGCTTGGCTGCCTGCAGATTCCGCTCCACCTCGCCCAGGAGGGACTTCTGGGCCTGTAACTCAGAGGCCAGGGCTGCCAGCTCCTGCCCCTTGCTGTCCAGGACACGGCTGCTCTCAGGGACGGTGTTGTCCTGATTCAGACAGTTCTCCTGTGTGGCCAGCAACTCCCAGCCCTGCTGCAGGCTCTTCTCCAGGCGGTTGGCCACGTCAACCTTCTCCTGGGCCAAGTCCAGCAGCTGCACCAGGCGCTCATATTTCTGGTTGGTGTCCTCCACCCGGGTCCTCAGCAGGGGTGTGGTGCCGCTGCCCGGGAGGGCCTGGATGAAGGCTTCGCCCTCAGCCGCACTCCTCGTCTTCTCAGGCTCGATCTGTAGCAGCTCGTTGGTAATGTTCTTGAGGTCCTTGGCCCGCTCGGCACTGTCCTGCACAGCCTGGCCTTGCTCCAGCGGTGGTCTCAGGATCCCCGTGATGGCCTTCTCCTGCCGGTCCAGGTCGCTGGCCACCTTGTCCAAGCCAGCCAGCAGCTGGCACCCCTGGAGGTCAGAGGCATCTCCAGGGTTCTTGGTCTTCAGCGTCTCATACCGATGCTGCAGCATGTGTTTGCTCCCAGCTGCCTTCTGCCTCACGCTCTGGTACTGGCTGCCTAGGCTGTCAGCCAGAGCCAGAGCCTCGGGGTCTGTGGGGGGGATCACAAAGCAGATGGCAGGAGCGATCAGCTTGTTCCCAGCGCTGTCTGTGAGCTCCCAGCTCTCCCCATTGTTCTTCTGCAGGGTGTAGCTGTAGCCCCACAATATCAGGCCCTGCTCCCCCTCGAAGTCACAGAGTGCCTCCACGGGGATGGCCTTGAGCGGCGTCTCCCGGCGGTACCTGAGGGGCACCACCTGTTGGCCTCGCTTCTGCAGCCCCCGCACCACGTCCTCATACTTGTCCAGCACCTTCTCCTGGTCATCCAGCTCCCTCCCTCAATAGCAGCTCAATCTGGTACCGGTCCTTGAAGTCAGGGCTGTATTTCTGGTTTAGGTCCGAGTCCACCTTGTGCAGCAGCTCCTGAGCGTCCTTCATGTCTTCGTGGAACTGGTGGTAGTCCTCCATGTACTTGAGGTGGCTCTCCTCACAGATGAGCAGGTTCAGGTACTCCTTCTAGTCAGTGTGCACGGCCTCCATGTGTGCCTCAATGGAGTTCCTCCCAGGGTGCTCGGCTGCCAGCAGCTGGTCGCCTTCGCTGTGCATTGACTCTGCTGGCACCTACCATGGGGACAGTGACCTGCAGCAGGAACGCATCAATGTGTACTACAACGAGGCCAGCGGTGGCAGGTACATGGCCCGTGGTGTGCTTGTGGATCTGGAGCCGGGCACCATGGACTCTGTGCGCTCAGGGCTCTTCGGGCAGATCTTCAGGCCAGACAACTTCATCTTTGGTCAGTGTGGGGCTGGGAACAACTGGGCCAAGGGGTACTACACAGAAGGCGCGGAGCTAATGGAGTCGGTGATGGATGTTGTGAGAAAAGAAGCTGAGAGCTGTGATTGCCTGCAGGGTTTCCAGCTGACCCACTCCCTGGGTGGGGGAAGTGGGTCTGGGATGGGTACCCTTCTCATGGGCAAAATCCGGGAGGAGTACCCAGACAGGATCATAAACACATTCAGCGTCCTGCCCTCGCCCAAGGTGTCAGACACCGTGGTGGAGCCCTACAATGCCACCCTCTCCATCCACCAGCTCATAGAAAATGCAGACGAGATGTTCTGCATTGATAATGAAGCGCTCTATAACATCTGTTCCGGGGCCTTAAAACTGACCACCCCCACCTATGGTGACCTGAATCACCTGGTGTCTGCTACCATGAGTGGGGTCACCACGTGCCTGCGCTTCCCGGGCCAGCTGAATGCCAACCTGCGGAAGCTGGCTGTGAACATGGTTCCATTTCCCCGGCTGCACTTCTTCATGCCCGGCTTTGCCCCACTGACCAGCCGGGGCAGCCAGCAGTACCGGGCCCTGACTGTGACTGAGCTCACTCAGCAACTCTTTGATGCTAAGAATATGATGGCTGCCTGTGACCTCTGTCATGGCAGCTACCTAACCGTGGCTGCCATTTTTAGAGGTCGCATGTCCATGAGGGAGGTGGATGAGCAAATGTTCAACATTCAGAATAAGAACAGCAGCTACTTTGCTGAATGGCTCCCTCACAACGTGGAAACAGCCATCTGTGACATCCCACCCCGGGGGCTAAAAATGTCAGCCACCTTCATTGGTAACAACACAGCGATCCAAGAGCTCTTCAAATGCATCTCCGAACAGTTTACCTCTATGTTCAGGTGCAAGGCCTTCCTGCACTTGTACACGGGCAAGGGAATGGATGAGATGGAGTTCACCGAGGCCGAGAGCAACCTTAATGACCTGGTGTCAGAATACCAGCAATGTCAAGATGCCACAGCTGAGGAGGAGGAGTTTGAGGAGTGTGCTGAGGAGGAGGAGGTAGCCTAGAAGCTTCCTTTTCTAGGTAAAGTGGGGAAGCAGTGTAGATTCTTTAGTGTGTTCTGATAACCATTGTCATTACACACTTCTTTGAGTCTTTACATCTCCTCCTGCTGCATTTTAAAGCACTTTCATAGTAAGTAGTTTGACCTAATAAAACATTTCTATAGCAAAAAAAAAAAATTACCTTCTGAAAGATCGTAAATATACCTCATATCAATTTTCAAGAGGACTTTAATATTGATAATATTCTCATAGTTACTATATTGTATTATTTCCTGCTTTTTGTAGCTACTAGTGTACTAAAGCAGTTATAATAAAGATTATGTGGGAGTATACTTAAAAGCCATACATTTAAAATCTTGAATCACTATTTTTAAAATTATATTCAATAGTTTTCTTTATACATGCCCTTTTTCAATCCAATTGAACACTTACAGATTTTTCTTGGCTTTGACTTACATTAAATGGAATATACAGATATATCAAGATAG